CCCACGAGCCCGTTACGGCCGCTGCTGCTGCTGCTGCGCCACCACCACCACCCACCACCACGACAACGACGTCGACGACAACCACGGCGCCTCAACCCAGCGAGGAAGACGGGGCCACGCCCATGGACACTGACGCCGCGACGCCTGCGACGGCGACCACCTCAGGCGGCAGCAGCGGCGGTAGCGGTGCTTCTGTGGTCGAGGGCTCCTCGCACGGCGGTCCCACCACGCCGACGGGGGCGCCCGCCATCCTCTTCATGGAGGAGGGAGGCGCGCCGTCGGCCGCCACCCCATCATCGCCACCACTATTGCCCGCTGCTGCGGCTGCGAGCAACCAGCACGCGGTCGATGGCCACCAGGCCGAACCCATGGACATCGCGGCAGCGGCTGCCCCCGCCCCCGCCGACACCTCCACCACGACGGGCGCTGCCGATGCGCAGGCAGCTGCTGCTGCCACTGCCCACTCCACGTAATCCCCCCTCCCCTCCCCCACCTATTCCACCGACGGCCTGTACAGCAGCGCGAGCTACCCCCCCCCTTCCTGCAAAATAAATAAACTCTTTCGTTCCTGCCACGGGGAGGTTCGCACCCCTTCATCGCCACCACCACCTCCACCAGTTCTCTGCCCAGCGCTCGACAGCGTGCCTCGCATACTTCTGTGGAGCGCAGAAGGCCTTTCTCCGTAGGTCCGGGCTTGCATGTCGCGCCGAGACGGACTGACCACCACCGCCCATTCTTTTTCTTCGACTTGTTCTACTACTCGCTCCAACACTTGCCCCCCCCCCACGGCAAGAGAGGTAGCGAAGAAGAAGGAAGAACGGTCCGGTACCGTACACGCACGCGATAATAGAATAGAATAGAATAGAATGGAGACGTCGTGGCCCTGGTGGTGGTGGTCCCTGCTCGGCGCTCTCGCCGGCGCCCTCGCGGCGCCCTGGGGCGGAGAGCAGCAGCAGCACACGCTCCTGTCCCTGCTGCTCGTGGCGGGCGCGGCGGCTGCAGCACCTGCCCTGGCAACCCTGGCGGCCCGCTGGCTGGGCGGTGGTGGCCTTGACCAAGGCTCCTCCACGTCGGCCGACTATCGCGTGACGCAGCTCGTCGTCTACCCCATCAAGGTGCGTGCCCCCCCCCATTTGGCTTTTTATTTTATTTTATTATTATAATAATGCTGGGGGGACGTTGGTAGTCGTGCGCGGGTACCTCGCTCACGGAGGCCACGTTCGACGCCCACGGCTTCGAGCACGACCGGCGCTGGATGCTCGTCTCGGACACGTCGTCGTCGTCGGAGTCGTCGTCGCCGCTGTTCTTCGTGACGCAGCGGGTGTGCCCCACCCTCGCCCTCGTGGTGCCTCGCCTGACCGCCACGAGCCTGCTGGTCGACGCGCCCCACATGCCCACCCTACGCGTACGCCGCTTTCTTCTTCTTCTTCTTCTTACCTTCTTCGTACCTTGTTGTTGACATACACTAAACTACCTACATACCTACCTACCTACATACAATACATACCTGGTCTGCAGGTGGAGCTCAAGTCGCAGGCCCACGTGGCGCGCATGGAGCAGATGCGCAAGGAGCTCGGCCTCGTGCACCCGCCCGAGGTGGAGGCACGGCTGGCCGAGGAGGCCAAGCGGAAGCAGGGCGGCCAGGAGCAGGTCCACGTGGCCATCTGGTCCGACAAGGTGCCCGCCATCGACGAGGGAGACGAGGTGCCAACTACACCCCCCCCCCAAACACACCCAACACCACCCCACGCCACGAAGCACCCGCACCGCCCAGGGGCCTATACACACGGGACACACAGCGCGCATCGCCATTCCCGTGTGGCATGGTATGCGTTAACACACACGTGTGCGTGTGCGTGACGCATCATCACCACCAACTCGTCGGCAGGCGGCCCAGTGGTTCAGCAAGTACCTCAAGAGGCCCATCCGCCTGGTGCGCGTGCCTGACGACAACCAGCGCCTGGTGCCCCAGGTACCTTACCAACCTACCTATCCCATACACCCCCCCCCAATATACCCCCAACTCCCCCTTCCGCCCACCACGGATTGGGGGGGGGTGAGCGGCTACCCCCCCCCAATCTGCGCGCTTGGCGACGCTGTTGACGCGCCCGCCCTGACGCCACACAGGACTACCGGGTGGAGGGGGAGGCCAACACCGTGGCCTTTGGCGATGGTACTACGCACACACAGCAGCTGCCGCCGCCGCCGCCCCATGATGATGACGACAACGATGGTGATGATGGGGCCACACTGACCAATAACCGACTGACGCGGCGGCGGCGGCGGCGGTTGTGGCGATGATGGCGGCGGCCGGGTGCAGGTTTTCCGTTCCTGCTGACGTCGGAGGGGTCGCTGGCCGGGCTGAACCGGGAGCTGCCGGAGCCTGTCCCGATGAACCGGTTCCGGCCCAACATCGTGGTGGCCGCCGCCAGCGGACGTCCCGAAGACGACGTGCCCTTCGTGGAGGACACCTGGGGCCTCGTCCGGATTGGGACTCACCCGATGCACGTCGTCAAGCCCTGCACCCGCTGCAAGCTCACCACCGTCGACCAGGTGCGCACCAGCCTCTCCCTCCCCAACCAACCAACCAACAAACAAACAATATGCATCTCCCGCCAACACCCGTACTGTGTGTCGTGTGTGTCGTGTGTGTCGTGTGTGTCGGGGTGTTTCACTTTGCCGACCCAGGCCAAGGGCGAGTTCGGCAGTGCGGAGGAGCCGCTGCGTACGTTGCGGCGAGTGCGGTCGTCGCCCGATGGCAAGTCGGTCTACTTCGGGCAGAACCTGATCCACGCCGCGGCCAGCGGCACAGTCCGCGTGGGCGACACCGTCCGCGTGCTCCGACTCACGCAGCGACCGGTGGCCCTGCGCCCCCCTGCCCCGCTCCCGCACGAATAGGCACACACCCCCTTCCTCCTCCTCCTCCCCGAAGCGACTTTTCCCTTCGGGGCGCGTACGAAGACGGTTGTTTTGTTCCAATTTATTTGTGTGCGGCTGTGGCCGTGTTGTGGCCGTAGTGGTGGTGATGGTGGTGGTGGTGGGAAATGGCGTCGCGGTGCAGCCAATCGGTGAGGCTGGGGGCGTCTTCTCCGCCTCCCGTCTGGCCCACGTAGCGCTCCAAAATGCTGTCGCGGTGCTTATGCCGTATTAGCGCACATAGTACATCAACAACATAGGAGTGCACAACCCCACCTGAAGAATTTGCCGAGAGAACAGGCGAGGAAGTGGTCGTCCTGCACCGTCGTCACGATGTATCTACACGCCCCCCCCCACCAAAGGCCCGTGGGTGGTCAGCCTGTGCGTAGGTAGGTGGCGGGTCGGGCGTACCTCAGCTGGCCGAAGTAGGGGCTCGATGGCGCGCAGTTGATGAAGAAAATGGTGCTCTCCGATTCGCAGCCCAGCGGCAGCCACGTGGGCCACGCGCAGCAGTTCTCCCTGGGCAGACCTCTACTCTCCTGCACCTCGACCCTGTACAGGTCCCACGCACGCACGCACGCACCAGATGGGGGAGGAGGGGCTGTTAGGCGTTGGCGTCGGTGGGATGGGTGGTGCGGGAGAAGGGGGAGGGGCGCACCACTCCTGCGCGAGGTCCTCGTCACCAAACACGCCGGGGAGGGACTTGAGGCACAAGGTGAGCGGCCACAGGTTGACGCCTTTTGTCCAGGCCTCGTCCCCCGAGAGGCTGAGGCCATCGAAGAGGCCGTAGAATTCCTGGCCAGACGACCAACCACACCGCCACCCGCCACACCGCCACGTGCGCCCTCATCAGCGCTACGGCTAGCCACTTCCCAGCACCACAATACCTCCAGCCAGGGCCCGTGGCAGCAGCTGCAGGCGCTGCAGCAGGTGCTGATGGCCGATGGGAGGTGCGCGTGCCTTGAGTTGCCAGTGAAAGCGCAGGCGGCAGGTCGCTTCGGCGTGGGCGGGAGCGTAGCCGCCTTCGAATTGGATCACCTGCCCGAGGGTGAGGGGCTTGCACACCACCACGCACTTCTGCGACACCCGCACCATCTTCTCCTGCACTGTGCCCCGCCCCCCGCCACATACTAGGTCAGGCCCTCGCGCGTGGTGATGGTGGTGATGACTGTCGGTGGGGCGCACGTTTCTTTCTGCGGTCATGACGTGCCACGATGACGGCCAAGACCACGCCGTTCACAAGGACCCGGGGTGGTGGTGGTGGGGGCGGCGGTGAGAAGGTGGCACTCAGCGCCGCGGTGGTAGGGAGCAGTGATAGGGGGGAGGGGTGGGATGAACCTGGCGGCGGCGTGGCGTAGAAGGACGGCGAGGTCGTGGGGCAGGCGAGGAGCGAGGAGGCGCCACGAGGGGTCGAGGACCACCTGGCGAGCGGCGAGGGAGGCCAGGCGCTCCACCCGCCATTCGCCCGCCACGCCCCACGCGCCCCCGTCTGCCGTCTCCCTCCACTCCTCCTCGCGCACGGGCGGCGCGTTGGCCGGCGGGGGAGCCCCCGCCCCCTGCCCCCCTTTGCACGGTGGGCCGCACTCGGAGCTGCCCAGGGGCCGGCAGTGCTGGGAGCAATTCACTGTCCCACCCCACCCACCCAGCACCCCGAACACCACCACGCCCAACGTGAGCGACACCCTAACCAACCTCGCCGTCGTTCTTCTCGTAGGTGAACACCTTCGCTGTAGGTAACGTCAGTGGCCGCTTGCTGCTGTTGGGTGGTCTCCATATAAAAATATATATAAACGCTAGCCACGCTACTGGTTTAGGTGTTTGTCTCGTAAACTCTAAATGCTCGCCGGTCGCCTCTGACTCCAACACGTGCATTTCCGACGGCTTTTCGGCCAAACACTCGCACCGAACATTCCCTCCTTGGCATCTTCCCCTCGTCTAATACCCCCCCCCTCCGACGTGATGAATGGGGTCGGGGTCGTGCGTGGGGGGGGTGGCTGGTGCCTTGTTGCAGGGGCCGCAGCAGCAGCAGCAGCAGCACTCCTAGGAGCTCGAGCAAGCTAGGAGGAGGAGGAGGAGAGGGGGCGTGCGAGGGCGGAGCTGCGGCGGGCGAAGGTGAGGCGTCCGGGTCCGGCGGTGAGCCAGAAGTTGCGGAGGGCGAGCTGCCAGCGGCCGGTCTTGGTGGCCTGGGTGTGGAGGTACCAGGCCCAGTCCTGGGCGGCCTCGACGCGGGGCTTGCGGCGGGCGGCGTAGGCGGCGAGGGCGTCGGCCGGGAGTGGGTGGGTGGCGAGGGCGTGGGCCAGCACGGCGGCGTCCTCGATGGGCAGGGCGGCCTCGTGCAAGGGCAGGGGTGCCGTGCTGTAGGCCCCCGACCCGAGGAGCGCCACGCGGCCGGCGCGGTGGGTCCACTGCTTGATGCGCATGTCCCGCGGGTAGTGCACCCAGCACGTGCGGTCGCTCTGCTCCACCTGCTGCACCACCGTGCGCATGCTGAACCCCTTCTCGAACCCGCCGCCCACCGACGGCCACTCCCGCGCCTCCCTCGCCCCGCCCTTCAGGAACGGCGCCATGTCCGCCCTAGATATGGGATATGGGATATGTACATAATGTGTACACACACACACACATGGGTTGATGAAAAGAAAGTGGCGTAAGTAGCGGCACGCACGCGCAACCACCCAACCACCGCCGACAACACCACGCCGCCGAGAGATAGGTGACAAGCAGGCAAGGACACACACGACACACACGACACACACGACACACACGACCACACACGACACACACGATGCACACATGAACTGGAACGAGCACTGGAGGAGTGGGGGAGGGGCAGAGCAGGGCCCGGCACAAGGAGCAGCTGGTACGCGACAGACGACAGACCACACGAGACCCGCACCTATGGGTGGCCCAGAAGTAGAGGAGGTCCTCGGGCATGGGGACGTAGCCCGCTCGGCTCCCGAGTCCCCTGATGATGCACACCCGGCGCCGTAACGGCAGCACGCGGGCGACGGCGAGATGGAGAATGGAGGAGATTGTGGGTGGAGGGGGAGGTGTCAGCGGTGCACAGTGCACGACCACCACGTGGTGTGCGGCGCGGGGAGGGGGAGGGGGAGGCGGCGGCGGCGGCGTACAAGACGTCGACGGCCTGGTCGGGGGCGATGGTGAAGGGGCGTGGGAGGTAGGTGCTCCACACGCCGTAGGCACCCACTTGCGTGGCGGTCATGTACGGGTTCTGGTAGATCTCCTCCTTGAGAACCTCCGGCGTGTTCTGCGCACGCGTGCGTGGTTCCATGCGGCGGCGGTGGGCACGACCACGCATGCGAGGATCCCGGTTGGTTAGCGCCGAGGGAAAGAAGTGGAGGGGCACACCGAGCGCGCGCGCGCGCCAGCACTGACGGTGATCGTGGGGAGGGGAGACGCGTGGGGCGTACCCCGGAATTGACGCCGTCGGCCAGTACGATGAGGTCGTAGTCCCGGCTGCCCATCTTCGCATCCCTGAACGAGCACCGCACGCCCGTACCCGCCACCTCCTGTACTCCCCGCGCCGCCGCCGCCGCCGCCCCGGTGTGAGTTGTGTGGCACTTGGCCTATCCTTCTCCTCTTCCAACGGCGCACGAATCCGCCCACTGTCGCATTGCCCCTCCCTCCCTCGTGTCGTGTGTGTGTGTGTGTGTGTGTGTGGTGTGTGCGTGTGTGTCGCAGGCACGCGGGCAGGAGAACCGTGGAGGGGGGGCTGCTACGTAGGAGAGGGAGGGCGTACGCGCATGGTGAGGATAGCAGTGGACGTGTTGATGCGGCCGCCTCGGCTCTCCCAGCTCTCTGCCAACAGCTGGAGATCGCATGGGCGAGGAGGGAGGAGGGAGGTCGTGATCAGTCGGTGACTGTGCCGTGCCGGGCCAACCCCCTTTTCTCTCTCTCTCTCTCTGAAATGTAAATATACAATGCGTGCATCCGGATGTGGCGTGTGGCGGGATGGAATGTGGGGGGGCAGGGGGGCAGGGGGCGATGCCAAGGTGGTGGCCCGCAAGGGGGGGTACCTCGGCGAGGGCGAAGGCCGGGATGGCGACGGCTCCGGCGCCTTGGTCCTGCGTGGGCGGCTCAAAGTTCTGCTGGTGGATGCTCTTGCCCGAGTAGAGGCCCGTGACGGCCTTGGCCAGTACCGTCCCTGCGCGCGCCGCCCGTCAGTGCAAGCCCCCCCCCGGCGGACACCAACCAACCCCCCCCCAAACAAAGTGAACACGTGTGGCCCGTCCCCGCGTGTCATAGTGCTGCGTGCTGCTGCGTGCTGCTGCCCGGTGTGCCCGTGGTGGCAATCCAAATATCCGTTGGCCGTACCTTCCCTCTCAAGCACGGAACGCAGGCCGAGGCCCTGCAGGACGCGCAACGCGTCGCCCGACACGACCGCGCTTCTCCCTGGTAGCCCCACCCACCCACCCACCAGCGAGCATTGGGGATCACACGACACGTTGCGTGTGGTGCACACCCAGGCGCCCAGTGGTGAGTCTCTGCTGTTCGGTATGCATATCTCCCCTCCAACCCGCCGCCGCCGCCACCGCCACCACCACGAGCAGCAGCAGCAGCAGCGCGACACGAGGCAATAGTAGGTGGTGGTAGTAGGTGGTAGTGGGCGCGTACCGACAAAGCGGTCGTAGTTGCTGTCGGCCTCCACCACCTCCGCTTGGATGCCCCTCGCCCGCAGGCAGTGAGCTGCCCGCCACCACCGCCACCACGACCACCACCAGCAGCAGCAGCCACGACAGCAGCGACCGCCACCACGACCACCACAGCAGCAGCCACGAGAGGGAGGGGGTCAGCACGTAGGCCCCACGCGTCTCTGCTGGGGGCGGGCATTGGGAAGGGGAACGGGGGGAAGAGGGGGTGGCCCGACGGTGGCACGCCCAGTTCCCCCACCTGCCCAGCCCAGCCCAGCCCAGCCCGTAGGTTGCGGAGATTTGGTGGTGGGCCAGGAAGCGGGGGGGGGTATAATGGAAGGGTGGTGGTGGGTACCGAGGGTGAGGCCGCCGACGGTGGCGCCGGAGATGAGGACACGAAGAGGGCCGCCCTCGCGCCTCCGCACGTGGGCCACGGCGCGGCCTTCGTCTGCAGCCGGCGGCGTGCCAGAGCTGCCGGAGGAGGACAGAGAGCCCCGGCTGCTGGCGGTGGTGGTGGCCGCTGCTGCATAGGACCGGAGGAGCAGGGACGTGGTGGGCATGGTGGCCGCCGGGAGGCCTCCGCCCCGGGGCACGATGAGAGATGCGAGTGCTGCGCCCCGCTGTTGGACTGCTGCGTGCCGGCTCATCTTCATCTCCTCCGCTGCACTGTTTCCTTGAGCGCGAGAAGAAAAAAAAATTGCCCGCCAAAGGGAAAAGGAGGGAGGAAAAAGCTACACGCGGGGGCTGCATTTCTGTTTCCACATTGCATCGCGGCCGCCCATTCACCGGCCCAGGAGACGCGGCACTACTCCTCTCCCCTGCTTGCTTGTCGGTGGGTCAGCCTACGCGTCGTGCAGCCCTCCCCCCCCACGCAAGCAATTAAAACCCGGCCCCGATGGGCAACGACACCTCGGCACCCAAGAAGCTGTTCGAGCAGCTCGACAAGACCAAGGATGGCGTGCTCACCCTCGACGACCTCCTCAACGGCAATTTTGCACAGTCGCCCCTCCTTCTCTTCCGTGTATGCCCCCCCCCTCCCCCCCAAAAAAGGTGTAACCGCGTTGGTGTCCTTGTCTTGTTCTTCTTCTTCTGGCGCGTCGTTGCTGTGTCGCGTGCTTGAGCAGCAAGCCCCGTGCACCCTGTCTATTCACACGAAAGCGGCTGGCGCGCGGTGGTGTGGGTGGGTGTTGGCAACAGTTCGATGATGGAGAGGACGGTGCGCTCGACAGAGAGGAGTTTGAGAAGTGGGTGCGGCACATGCAAGCGCACAAGAAGAAGCACAAGAAGAAGCGGCGCACCGAAAAGAAGAACCAGGACAAGGAGAGGAAGAACAAGGACAAGGACAAGAAGAAAAAGCGGCGCAAGGACAAGGACAACAACAAGCCCGAGGAAGATGAGGAGTACGCGCCCCCCTCCAAAAGCTATATCCCCCCCTCCCCCATTGAATGGTGCCTGACGTCTGATGTCTCTGTCGTTGGCTGCATGCACCCTCTGCCGTTTAAACGCCGACAGCTTCTCGCGAGCATGGACGACCCTCGACGAAAACGCCGGTACGGGGACCCCACGGAGACTGCCGCCCTGCCTGTGTCGCGTCGCTGGTCGTGTCGCGTGTGTTTTCTGTGTCTGTGCTCACCCGCGATGCGATGCCTTTGGAATGGCGGGGCGGCAGCATCCAAGCTGAAGCTGTCGCGCAACTCGGAGACGCCGTGCATCATCGGGCAGGGCTCCCCTCAGCTCTCCCACCTCGAAAGTACCCATCGCCGCCGCCGCCGCCGCCGCCGCCTGCTTCTCCAGCCTGCCTAGCCCAGGCGGGCGTGCAGATCTGACACCTCCTCGCTCCCCGAAATAGGCCAGCTGGGCGGGCTGTCTCGTCGCTCGGACGAGCTGCAGGTGCTGCTTTCGGAGGAGGCCAAGGCCTTCCTGATCAACCTCCTGCGCCGCAGCGAGGGCCGCAAGCGCTACATGGACTGGCTCTTCCGCCTGGTGCGCACCTCCTTCCTCCTCCTCCTCCTTTTTCACACCTGCGTGCGTGGCGGGCGCGCGCACAGGTGGCTGCTGCTCGCGACGGCTGCCGATCGTTCCCATAACCACTGTCACTGTAGCCTAACCGTATCCGTACTACCTACCTATGCCCACCCACTCACTCTGCCGTGGTGGGCCTTGGCCACGCCAGGCCGACGTGGACAAGGACGGGGACATCGAAGTGGAGGAGCTCAACCTCATCCTCAAGGCCCTGGAGAAGGACGGCATCCGCATCTCCGACCTCTCCTATGAAAAGGTGCCCGCCCGCCCGCCCGCCCGCCCGCCGCTTGCCCCCTCCCACGTCCGCTCACCAACCCCCCCAACCTCCCCCCCCCCCAACCCCCCCAACCCCCAACCCAACGAGCAGTGCATCGACCCGACCAAGGTGGGGCAGCGCCTGCTGGAGGAGTACGCCACCAACAAATCGGGGACCCTCACGCGCGAGGAGTTCATGGTCCTCGCAGACCTCATCATGCGCCACTACGAGGAGGGCTATGCCCGCACGGTACCCCCCCCCTCGCGAGGCAGTCCCGAAAGCCGCCTCACTCACGCGCGTGTGTGCCTTGACTTGCCCTGTTCCCCGTCTTTTGGATCCACACAGCGCAAGCGGAGGATCGGGAGATACGAGCTGAAACGAAAGCTGGGCAGCGGGGCCAACAGCATCGTGCGTTTGGCCATCAACACGGAAACGGGGGAGAAGAAAGCGATCAAGGTCATCAAACGGGGCGACGTCAGCGACATGTCCCGCGTCGACGTGGAACTCAAGGTGCCACACACGACACACACACGACACACACCAGCTGGAGGGCATTGGCGTGCGCGTTCGTTTTTGCAGTGAGGGTAACGAGCGGTGCTCCGGTTCCTCACACACGACACAAATAACGCACACGACGACGGCGCAGGCGATGATGATGCTCGATCACCCCAGCATCGTCAAACTCAATGAGGTGCTGGAGAACGAGGAGTACGTGTTCTTCGTCATGGAGCTCTGCGGTGGTGGTTCCCTCTCCAACTACGTCGAAATGAAGCCCCTTTCCGAGCGGCTCGCCAGATACTACATGCCCCAGCTGATCAAGGGCCTCAAATACTGCCACAACAAGGTGGGCACACCCTTCACCACGCGACGCATGACACGCGCGCAACGTGGCCTCCGCCACCCGTCATAGGGGACCATCTCATCGCGAATATTGTCTGTGCGTGACGTGTGCGTATGTGTGTGCGCGTGTGGCAGGGCGTGTGCCACCGAGATCTCAAGCTGGAGAACCTGCTCATCGACAACAACGGGCACCTCAAAATTTCGGACTTTGGTCACGCCGGGATCTACAAGGAGGGGTGGGACCTCTTCAACACGCGACTCGTGGGCAGCCTCTACCACCTGTCGCCGGAGCAGGTGCAGGGCCAGTGCTACTCCGGCGAAAAGATCGACATCTGGGCACTCGGCGTCATCCTGTACCTCCTCCTCCCCCCCCCCCCGCCCCCACCCCTCTGGGGAGTGCCTGTTGCTAAGTGACCCGGGAGTGGTGATGCTGGTGGCGATGCATTTTATATTGCTATTTTATTAATTATGGATTTCTCTGCGTATACATCTGTGTGTGGCAGGTATCGTCTGCTGGCCGGCAAGCCTCCGTTCTTTTCGCGCAACCCGCAGGAGTTCCTCAGCTGTGTGGCGCAGGCGCGCTTCGAAATGCCGGAGCGGCTGTCTGCGGACGCCAAGGACCTCATCGACATGATCCTCCAGCCGGATCCCGCAAACCGCCCCTCGTGCTCCAAAATCCTCAAGCACCCTTGGTTTGACGGACCCATCAAGGAGCCGGCCCTCGCCCGCTATGTCGTGCGTACACCCCTCCACACGCACGCACGCACGCACGCACGCACGACCAATTGCGCGTCGTCGGGCTCCACTGCTACCGTGGGCTGGTGAGCCGAGAGGAGCTGACCACGTGTCGTGGGTGGGTGGGTGCGGTGGTGTCGTGCGTGGGTGGGTGCAGTTGCAATTGGATAGCCGATTCGAGGACTACACGATGCCGTGGAACCGCATCCGCGAGATCGTGGCGGGGCTCAACATCCACCTCTTCCCGGCGGCACCCACCAAGAGGCACCACTTGCTGATGTACAAGTGCGTGTACACCAAGAAGGAGCTCAAGTTCTCCATCACCCTCAAGAAGCGCAAATACTCCAAAGGGGTACGCCCTCCCACCCACATGCCCCGCCCCCATACAACCAACCAACCAACCAACCAACAACGGGCGTGCGCTGACCCTGCTCCTTCGTCGGGTGGGTGTATGGCTGGGCGGACGGATGGCTGGTGGTGGCTGGGGAATGGTGAATGGTGGATATCCATGGGGACAATGGCGAACGCTCAGAACCCCTACATCGAGTTCAACCTCCACGAGGGAGAGGGCTGGGAGTTCAACGAGGCCGTCTACAAGATACGCGCCACGTTCCGCCGATGGAAAAAGAGCGTCTTCCCTCCGGGCTCCGCTCGTAACGAAAGCAGCGACAGGTCACGCACGCACACACACACACACACACACACAAGCGCGCGCACCACACACCTCCACACGAATCGCGTTGGGCGCAAGGTGGGTCTTATTGACTTACACATACACCGCCACTGCAGCAGTAGTAGCAGCAGCAGCAGCGACACGGACGACACGAGTAGCAGCAGCAGCGACAGCGATAGTGATAGCAGCAGCAGCAGCTCCAGCAGCAGCACTAGCGACGAGCGCCACAAGAGGAGGGGATCCCGAAAGCATACCACGGGGACATCGGCCTCCTCGTCGTCCGCTTCCTCCTCCAACACCGAAGAGGAGGACGAGGACGAGGAGGAAGGCGAGAGCCGCCAGCCGTCGAGAGAGGGTCCATCGCCAACGGCAGCTGCCGCTGGTGGCGGTGGTGGTGGGACAGAGTGCGCGTCCCCCGCCGCGCGCCCGCCTCGCCGCACCAACGTCGGCAGCGGCAGCAGCAGCAGCAAGACCGCCAACCCGGACGCCCACGAGCGGCCAAAAAGACCGCGTGATCGACAGAACCCCGCGATCGCCGCCGCCGCTGCTGCCAAGGAGCGTAAGGCCTCGAAAGAATGCGAAGCCGACAGCAGTGCCGCCGACAGCAGTGCCGCCGACCGCAGCCGCTCCAAAGGCAACGGCGCCAGGAGAAGTGGCGGCAGTGAGGACGAGAGGGAGGACGACGGCGAGGTGGGCTTCTTCAAGAAGCCGCCAAAGCGCGGCGGCCTGCGCGACCAGCCTGCTGTGGAAGGCGACAGAGTCGCCGAGGTCAGCGCCGGCAGGGCGACGCCAGACCACCAGAACGCTGGCGAGGCCGACACCATCGTGGCTCAGGCTCGCAAACGATCGACGGGTGAGGACCAAGGGCAGCAGCAGCACAGCCGAGTGGAGTCGCCGGTGGTGGGCTTGGCCGCGGCGGGGGCGGCAATGCAGAAGCGGTCGTCCAAACCGCCAGCCCACGACTACCACGAGACCACGGGACCGCAAAAGGCCAAGCCCTCCGCTCACGCCCGGGCCGCCGAAGACGAGGCCCACGCGGAGCCGGGCGACGGAGGAGGCGCCGCCACCACCGGCGGCGGCGGTGGCAAAGGAGAGGGCGGCGACAACGGCGGTGTGCCGTCGGTCACCGACACCGAAGGCTTCGCCGACGATGAGGACGACACCACTGACGACGATTCAGCCGCGGACGGCGCGAAGGCCTCGGGTGGATCCCACCGCACCAGCACGGCCGTGGCGCGAGGACGAGGAGCCGGCGCAACGCCGCAGGGCGGAGGAAAGAGGGGGGCGTCTTCGGCTCTGCCTGCTTTCCCACGAAGCGCGGCTTCGTCGGACGAGGAGGAGGAAGGCAACGAGGCCGACGAGGAAGACAACGACTGGGACGGAGAGGACGAGGAGGAGAGCGAGGAGACCTCTGAGCAGGAGGAGCACGACGACCCGCACGAAGGCCACGAAGAGCTCGAACTGTCGCTGGCGGAGAGGGACCAGGACGAGGAGGAGGCCGATGAGCCCTAGTGGCGAGGCCGATCTACGAGGGTGAGGCCCGAAGAGAGAGAAAGAAAGAAAGGTGTTGTGTACAAAGAAACAAGTGGTTGTTGTTTATTTGGAGGAAGGAGAGACAAAGGGGGTTAGGTAGGGATGGTGCAGGTTGGATGGTGTGGTGTGGGGAGGAAGAATAAATAGGTGTAGCCGCAGTTCATCCCCACATCGTGAGGCGAGCAAAATTGTTGTTCGCTTGTTGTTCTATGATCAGTTGTTGACGGTCGAGTCGGTCGTCGTTGTTGTTGTTGTTACGCCCTCCCTCAGTCCCAAGCGCTGGACGAGGAGTGCGACTGGCGAGTCGGGAAGTCGCGACCGCCACGAGATCCGTAGCCACCGCCGCCGCCACGACGGAAGTCGGAACCGCCGAAGCGAGAGCCGCCGCCGCGGGAACGGCCGCCGCCACGGGAACGTCCGCCGCCGCCGCGGCCGGTGGCGTAGACGAGCTGGTCGAACCACTCGGGCACCTCCTGCTCGGCCTCGCGGAGGATGTCGAGGAGGTCGGGGAGGATGTTGGCGTCGCGCTCGGAGACGAAGGCGGTGGTGAGGCCGGTGTTGCCGGCGCGTCCGGTACGGCCGATGCGGTGGACGTAGTCGTCGATGTTGGTGGGCAGGTCGTAGTTGATGACGTGGAGCACGTTGGGGATGTCGAGGCCGCGGGCGGCGACGTCGGTGGCGACGAGGATAGGGGTGCGGCCGGAGCGGAAGGAGGTGAGGGCGGCCTCGCGCTCGCGCTGGGTGCGGTCGCCGTGGATCGAGGCCACGGGGAAGCCCTCGCGGTAGAGGAAGTTCTCGAGCTGGTCGGCGCCGCGCTTGGTCTGGACGAAGATGAGCGTGAGGCCGCGCACCTCGGCGAGGAGCTCGAGGACGGCGTTGGTCTTGTCGCGGTCCTCGACGTACATGAGCTTCTGGCTGATAAAGTCCGTCGTCGAGCCGACGCGGCCCACGCGCAAGAAGATCCAGTCGTTGAGGAAGTCCGACGCCAGGCGCTGGATCTCGACCGGGAAGGTGGCCGAGAAGAGCAACGTCTGCCGGTCCTCGGTGCGGGGCATGTCCTCCTGCTCGACGATGCGCCGAATCTGCGGCTCGAAGCCCATGTCCAGCATGCGATCGGCCTCGTCCAGAATGAGGTAGCGGATGTTGGCCAGCGACACGCGGGCCCGCTCCATCAGATCCACCAGGCGACCGGGCGTGGCCACCAGGATCTCGACACCGCGCTCGATCTCGCGGAGCTGCTGGTAGATGTCGGCGCCGCCGTACACCACCGCGGCGCGGAGCGGCCCGTAGTAGGAAAACTTGCAGGCCTCCTTGTAGATCTGCGACGCCAGCTCGCGGGTGGGCGCCAGCACGAGCGCATGCGGCTGCGCCATGGGCCGACGCGAGTAGCCGCCGCCGCGATCGCCGCCAAAGCCGCCGCGGCCGTAGCCGCTGGCGGGCGGATTCTTGTGGAGGGCCGAGATGATGGGCAGCAGGAAGGCCGCCGTCTTGCCCGAGCCCGTCTGGGCGCAGGCCATGAGGTCGCGGCCCTGGCCCACGATGGGGATGGCGTACTTCTGGACCGGGGTGGGCTTGTCGTAGCCCGAGAGCTCGATGTTGCGCATCACAATCGGATCGAGCAGGTCCCCATCGGAGAACTTGCTATCGAGCGGGGTGGGGCAATCGTTACCGGTGGCGTCGACCGGGATGTCGTCGTACTTGTCGAAGTTGATGCCCGCATTCATGTTGTCATCGCCCTTCTCTACAAAGGGGTTGTGGTCGTGCGGCCCACGGGCCTTGCCGCCGCCGCGCGCCGGACCGTCGAAGCGGTCATCGGCCCAGCGGTCGTTGCCGCGCGATGCGGGGCGACCGAAGTCTCCGCCGCCTCTCCTGCTGCCGCCTACTTCTCCGCCGCCCCTGCTGAAGTCGCCCCTGTCGTCGCGTCGATCGTCGGCGGGCCAGCGGCCACCGCTCGAGGGCGCGGGCTTGCTGGTCTCGGCGAGGACCTTCTTACGGAGGTGGGGGGGTACGTAAACGCTTCCGCTGCTGCCTCCGTTGGAGGAAGCACCGTTGCTCTCCTTACCGTTCAACCCAAGATCGTTCAAACCTTGAGTCAATTGAGAGACATCTTGGGGGGTGTGGCTCATAATACGATGGGTGGGTGATTCGTTTGATCTGGTTCGAGTCGAAACAAAAGTGAACAAAACCAGCCGCGCGCTCCCATGACTCCGGTGAGCGCGGAGTTGGGGAGTTTACTGCCCGTTCTACGTTTCTTCTGCAGACAACATGTCACGCCCTTCCCGCGAACCCTTTCTCCGCCTCTTCTTACTTCACGTTTCTTTCCATTTTCCTTTTCCTCCTTTTCTTTCCTTTTTTGTCTGGGCTGGTGGCATACCCAGGCCAAGTCCCCAACCTGCAACAGGTGGTGAAGGCAGAAACCTAACCAATGGTAAGCTGTGCAGATCTACACAGAGCCAAGTCACATTACAGATACAGATTTGTATATATACACCACATAAACAGCTCAAACATGACTGTAAATTTGTGTGGTGGAATTTTTGTTGTGCTAAAATTGTGAGATTTGACATTTTAGATGAATAAGGCAGTTTTGAAGATTTGGGTCTGAGTCTGTATAAAGTCTGTTTTTTGCTGCTCTTAAAAACAACTTAGGTGTCCTGCAACCTCAAAGGCACTGCTGATGTGCTGATGTTGAGAGGATGGAGATGACAGCACTGTTGATGATTGTGTTTTTCGCTTCAGAGGGCTGGGAGGTGGAGGTGATGTGCATGTGGTAGGACCACCCAATGGGGCAGTTACCACCTTCAGGAGCTTCAACAGTTCCTTGTTGTTGGCCATGGCTGATGGCAGGGTGACTTGCTCCTATGCATACACAACAACAAAAACTGTAAAACCAGACACTTACTTTATCACATACACTTACACAGTGACTACATGTTTGACCTACCAATACTTAGTTTATCATGCATGTTAACATGGTCTGGAAAATAAGAACTTTGCTTGTTTTGGGAAAGTGCTCCTTTGAACAACCTCAAACTGCACCTTGCTTTTGCTTTCATACCCTCCATCAATTCCATAATCAGTGGCCAACATGCTGCCCTCACATCCAGTTCATGTTCAGCCTCACACCATATCCAGTCAGTTGCACACATACACTGAACTTCATTCTTCACATTTGTGCTGAATTGGAGCACTATTCCTGAAGTTAAAATTCCACTCCATTCCACACTGATAAAATCACTTTTAACTCCACAAATTCCAAGTTTTTATGAAAACATTTTCATCTCAAGTCCCTCAATATCACTTATAAGCACCAGTCTAGCATGTCAAAATCACACATGCAGATCCAAATCTTCAAAACTGCCCTGTAAATCAAAAATGTCAAATCTCATAGCACAACAAAAATTCCACAGTCATTTATGACCCACAAGTTCTCACTCCTCTCCTCCTTGCTCCTCTCCTCCTCATGACTCTCTTGTTGTCACACCTCCCCTCCTTGCACTTCTCCTCCCTAGTTGTGGAGGTGCCCTCTTTTACTCTCTTCTGTTATGTCCCCAGGAAACATCTTCTGTGAGCCTCTGAACAATGCACTCCAAAGAAGCAAAGGACACCCAGGGCAAGCACCTCTTCCTTCACCTGCAGCCATTCTGGCCCTAGGATTGGAGCCCTATCAACTCCTCTCTTCTATTCCACAGGGTATGGCCATTCCCCTCCTCCTAACTCTGCTGACCATGTGAGTTCCATCATACATGCTCATTATTTCTTGTTGTTCTTTTTCAGGCACACCATACACAATCCTGCCACAACCATTTCCTCCTGAGGTCATCACTGAGTTCACTGAGAATTTTGATGCTCCTTTGTTCCTCAACTCTGAACTTGAGGAATGGGCAGACCTCTTTGAAGCTCATGCTCTTGACAACTTCTTCCCAGCTCACCTGTGTGACTTTATGATTTATGGTGGTCTCAGGCCTACAGACCTGGGTCAGTCTTGGACCTCTCCTGATGTTCAATGCTTCAACTATGCTCCTGGTCTGTGGGTTGCTGTGTGTGCTGATATGGATTGGTAAGATCAGTGTCCTTTGAAAGGGCTCAACATCCACTGGTGGAACTTTGCCAATGGGCACTGGGCTGACACTTGTGCCAACACCCACACCATTCCAATAGGTTATGGGCCCACACAATGTCTAAATCTACAGACATTAGTGTGCCACTGCTACAAAGCATGGAGAACACATGTGGCAAACCCACATCAATACAGTACTTTTCACAAAGGACTTGATGCACATCTGTGACAACAGTCATCTTGTTAAGAAAGAACTATCATGAGTGTCCTTCTGCCACTCTCAGACCTTCAAGGCCTATGTCACCTCTGTCAAGTACTTCACCCCCACCACATTCTGTGAAGCAGTCAAGTCACTGTTCACAGCTGAGTGGGAAAAAGGTGATGGAGGAAGAGGTTTGGTCTCTAATCCACAACAACATGTGGATTCTCATACTGCAGCCAAGCCACAAGCACATTGTCAAGGGCAAGTTTGTCTTCAAGCTCAAGGTTAAGCCTGATGGAAAAATTGATTGATACAAGGCACACTGGGTAGCAAAAGGGTTTACCCAATGGGGAGATTACTACACCAAAACCAATGTACCAGTCGTTCTCTTCAAAAATCTCCACCTCATCCTTGCTCTCAGGTGCCTGTACAATCTCAAGATCCACACCACTATATGGGCTTAAGCAAGCTCTGTATGAGTGGAATAAGGTGATTGACTGGCAGCTTGTCTTGTGGTTTTGTTCCCCTTGAAGCTAACCCATGTGTCTATGTGCTGATGAAGGGGGAAGAAATCACCATCATTACCATCCATGTCAATGACTGCACCATCACCACAAGCAAGCCTCTACTGCAAGCAGCCAAGGATGTGCTCACTGCCAAGTTTGACATGCAGGACCTCAGCAAAGCAAAGTCAGTTCTCTGAATGGAGATCATCAGATGTCAAGCAGAAGGCAAGCTCTTCCTCTGGATGAAAGGGTATATCAACAAAACCCTAGCTGTGTTTGGTATGGTTGAAACCAGTTTGCACCCCATGGTCATTAGGCTATGGCACTACCAGGCGCCAAGCAAGTTCTACACTACCTCAAGGTCACCATCAACCTCACCATCAGCTACAACACTTCAATGCACAGTGGTTGTGACAGGTGAGAAGGCAGAGGCAGAGCTTGCTGTGCACATTTCTGAGGACCTTGCCATGGGGTGGACACTTGAGGCCAGGCAACTGGTCAACTACCTTGTATGTACATTGGACCACTGCAAATAACAAAATAAAAGATACACAAAGTGTGTCTAGAAGCTCTTGACCCCAGGCAGCATCTTGGACATGTAGGGTCCATCCAATTCTGCATGCAGGACACAGCACAAGATTCAGCCAACACCACCATGAAGTGCAATTAAGAGAGTGAGGACTCACTCACCATAGCCAAGCTTGCGGTAGTAGTGTCGTGTGCCCACGCCCGAGATGACTGATATCTTCTCTGATCCATGTTCCTCCAATGCAATGCGCTCCGCTTCCTCCATCAGAAGTGTGCCAAAGCCCTTGTGTGTGTGCGTGTCGTGTTGTGTCGTGTGCCAAGTGTGTGGGTGGAACGATGCGGTAAGCAACAACATCACCTTGGGCTCTTGTTCTTTGAAGGAGAGGTTGAGGTGGGAGTTTATAAGGCAGGGCGAGATGCACGCAAGTGTGGGATGGCTGGGAGATGGGTGGGGGGTTGGTGGGGTACCTGGTGCTGGAACTTGGTGGGATCGCGGTTGTGGATCGGCACTACGGTGCCGTACACATGCAGCTCCCGCACGATGGAAGTAGGACACGCCTTGAACTCCTCTCTGAAAGTGGCCTCGGATGCCTTGCGCAGGCGGAGCAGGCCGATGAGAATGTCCTGCTTGGGATCCTCGTAAGTGAGGAAGGTCTCCCAGCCACCGTTGCCCACGTAGTCCCGCCGGACCAACTCCACCTGCGCGCCGCCATGGCCATTTGGTCAGTGGGTGCGTGGGTGCGTGGGTGCGTGGGTGCGTGGGTGCGTGGGTGCGTGGGTGCGTGGGTGCGTGGGTGCGTGGGTGCGTGGGTGCGTGGGTGCGTGGGTGCGTGGGTGCGTGGGTGCGTGGGTGCGTGGGTGCGTGGGTGCGTGGGTGCGTGGGTGCGTGGGTGCGTGGGTGCGTGGGTGCGTGGGTGCGTGGGTGCGTGGGTGCGTGGGTGCGTGGGTGCAGGCGAGTGAATTAATTACCTGATCGGGCCGGACGCGGTGATGGATGTCCTTGATGCCGACCTCGCGGGTGCGCACGTCGCGGCACTTGGTGCCAAAGTCCTCCATACGCTTGAGCGCCAGCTCGCGCAGATTTCCGTTCTCGACGCCCGAGGTGACCAGGGGCATGGGGATGTCCCGTTGGATGCGGTACACGCGCGTCCACGGAGGAACCAGGGCCAGGATTTTGGCCACCAGGTCCACCAGGGCGTCGGGGTGGTAGTTTTTGTACTGGCCCGTCTTCCACAGCTCGTAGAGCCCCGTCCCGCGAATCACCAGCGTAGGATAAAGCTTGAGTCCGTCCGTGCGGAACGCCGGATTCTCAAAGAACTCCTGATGCACACGCACATCCCCACCCAACGCAACGCACCCAACCGGAAAAGAAGAGCAAAAGCAAACCCACCGGGTAAAGGTAAGCACGATGCAAAAGGCAGTGTGTGTGGTGATTGGAAGGGGAGGGGAGGGGAGGGGAGGAGGCCACACGGCGGCCTGCCGAGGACAAGGCGGAGGGTTCGGGCAGGGGAAGGGAAGGGAAGGGGAGGAATTGGCACCATGAAGCCGTTCATGTCCCTCTCCATGCCCATGTTGGGCAAGTCGGGCATCATGTGCGCCACCACTTTGAATCCGCAGTCCTTGGCCAGCTGAAAGCACTCATTGACCGCCCTCACGGTGTGCCCTCGATTGGTGTCGCGCGCCACGTCCTGCACGCGCGGAGCCCATCCGGCGAACACGCGTTAGGGAGAAGGAGAAGGAGGAGAAGAGCACAATCGATTGTGCGTGTGAGCCCTTACCAAGTAAGGCATGCACGCACACACGTACAAAGGTGGGGAGGCGTCCGTACCTCGTAGACGGACTGAACGCCGATCTCGAGGCGGGTGCATCCGTAGGAGAGCATGGCGGAGAGGTGGGGCTTGAGGCAGTAGTCGGGGCGGGTTTCGATGGTGATGCCGATACACTTGACGCCGCTTTGCTCCGAGAAGCGGACGGCCTCGGCCACGCTGTTGGAGGTGTGGCCGGAGAGGGCGTCGTGGAGGTTGCGGATGAAGTAGTCGCGATAGTCCTCCCCGAGAGACATGAAGGTGCCGCCCATGATGATGAACTCCACTTTGTCCACCGAATGGCCCAACCGCTTGAGCTGGTCGATGCGATTGCGGGTCTGGAGATAGGGGTTGTACCGGGCACGGATGGCCCGCATGGACGTGGGCTCGTAGCCCGTGTAGGCCTGCGTCGAGTACTCAAAGTCCGAGTCTGGACCCCCCGGGCAGTAGACGCAGATGTTGCCCGTCATCGCAATGTGCGGGCACCTGTGCGGCTTGCACATCACAGCCACCACCGCGATCTAACAACGCCGCCACCAGACCACCAGCACACGCACGTGTCAGGCGCACGATCCAGCGGCAGCAGCAGCGTGGCGTGGCGTATGCAAAACCAGGAGGAGAGGAGACGTACGCCGGAGGCAGTACGGATGGGCTTGGTTTTAAGGGCGGGAAGGAGGGCCTTACGAAATTGCTCCGGGATGGCGGCGATGATTTCCACTGTCTTGGGCTGGTCTTGCAGCCCATTGCGCCGCGAAAGGTGGGATTTGAGCTTCATGAGATTGACATGCTTGTGCTCGTTGTGCCCTTGGATGAGCAGGGCAACCTGCAAATTTTGTTGTTAGTGATTGAACAGAAGTTGTTGGCATGGTACATGGGAGTGAGTGCACACGATTTCGGATATGGTCTTGACTTTCGCCTGGGATGCCCTCCGATCCGCGGGGGCAGTGCCGTAGGGGGTGGACATGGTGCGCAGGCACGGACGGTCCGAAGGAAAATGGCAAAAAACTCTTTTTTTTGTCTTTTGTAGACACAAAGCCAACCACATCCGATCTCCACATTCTTTTGTGTCCACGCCATGGCGAGCTATGAAGAGCAACTCGAAACCTTTGGTAGGTGCCAGCTGGCAAAAGATCTTTTTCTTACATGGGTCTGTGTAGTCCATACACTAATGATTTTCTTATGCACTTTCGATTTCAGGCAAAATGATTGACGAGGAGGAAGAAAAGAAGAAGAGGGGACGCACTCGTTCAACCAAAACCCCCTCTTCCAGTGGGAGTGGGAGTTCAAGCGGGGCTGGCTCGCAGCTGCTGCCCCCCAACACCGCAGCAGCAGCTGTGGGCAGCCTCACGCCCCAGACCGTCAAGGCCCAACCTCAGGTGAGGGTGGTGGGCTTCCACGTTGGCGGCACAACCGCACCGGCAACTGCCAGCCCCGCTGTACGCCGTGCATCTTTCTTTCCTACTCGACCGCCAATTTGTGTGTGCATTAACCCCCGTTGCCAATTACAGGCCACACCACCTGTGGCCATTCCCTCGCTCGTCGAGGGAAGCAGCGGCAGCGGTCGGCGCATCAAGAAGAGCGTGGATGGGTCGCCCTCGCCTACTTCCTCCCTTGGGCATAGCCTCGAGGGCCTCAAGGAGTACAAGTGCGTCGCCGCCGCCGCCCTCCTCTTCTCTCTCCCCCCTCAATGGGGCCGACAAGCGCCTTGCAGTTCTGCTGCTTCTGGTGCTCACCAACCGCACCAACTGCACCCGTAGGAGCCAGCTGGACGGGTGGTCGGCGAGCGGTGGAGGCGCTCTCGAGCGGCGAACCCCGCCCTCTTCGAGCCCCAGCGCCGAAGATCGCAAGCAGGTACACTTCCCCGCGCCACAAGGTGCCCGCCTGCGAACCAGTGCTGACGCGCCAGCAACCCCCCCCCCAATCCAGACGACACTGGTGGGTCCAAAGCCAACGACGTCATCGAGCTTCGAGGCCAAGCCATCAATGTCGCCCACGCGCCATTCCTCCTACCAGCCTCTCGCGTCCCCCTCCGCCTCTTCGAAGCCAATGACTCCTCCTCTCCAACACCCTTCTTCGGTTCTCGTTGGCAGCGGACCCACTGCGACCAAGGCCTCTGCCAAGGCCCCTGCTTCGCTCGCCAAGGCCCCCTCAGGAAAGGCGCCCTCGCAAGACAGCGATAGTGGCCACGATCACGATCACGGAGGCAGTGACGACGACGATGCTCGCACGTCGGGTCACCACGAAACCGCCAAAAAACCGCTCACTCGCGCGGAACGACGCGCCATTCAGGTTCCGAGCCTCCCTCTCTTTTGTCTCCTTTGGTGAAGCAACAGACACTCAGTGCCGCGCCCGTATCGATGGGACCTTACAGGAAGCTCAGCGGGCGGCCAAACAAGCCCGCCTCGGCGCGCAGAAATCAGGCCAGCCTGCCGCTCCGGCGACGAAAGGCAGCAGTAAAGGCGCTTCAGCTGGAACAGCCCCCAGCGCCCCTCCTCATGCCACTGCCCTCTCTGGTGAGTCCACCTTTACTTTCTCTCTTCTTCCTCCGTCCCACAACGCTCACGCGTCTCAAAATGGTGCTGCCAATCTCGACACACACGCACACACACGCACACACTGCTTGCCCTTGCTGCCGCAACTACCAGGGCCTAGCGCAGGCGGACGAAAGCCTGCCATCGCTCCGGGAGGATCAGCAGCGGGTTCCAAGATCAAACAGTATGACGACCCCAAGCAGAAGGCGCAGGCCACCAAGCAGTCGGTCAGGACCCCACCATCTTCCCGCTTTTGTGTTTCGCCTTTGGCCTTAAGTAGCTGAGGTTCGCTCGCTCGTTTGTTGTTCGTTCGTTGTCCTGACCCTATTCTACCCATTGGGCTGCTTGTTTTGTTGGCTCTCTCTTCTCGACAGGTGGTAGCCTTGGAGGAGAGCAAGAAGCAGGTCGCGCTCTTCTCTCACTTGCCCCAGTTCGAGCGACACACCACTTTGTCCATGAAAATCGGTACGGTGCGCCTTTCCCTCCCTCCTCCCTCCTAAGTCCTCGACCGACACCCCGCGTCTGCCGACTGGGGTACAGGCTTTTCGCCGAGCGAGAAGATTCACCCGGCGATTGTCAACCTGGGCCTCAAGTATGCCAGCGGCACGGTGGCCGGTTCCAACTCCCGGTGTGTGGCCATGCTCACCGCCTTTAAGAAGGTAGCCAGCTCCCCTTTCCCCCACTGGCTGGTCGTGCCTCTCTTCCTTCTCTCCATTTTTTTCTTTCTTAATTTCCCCTTCCGCCACTGCCGCGGGCACGACTTGCAGGTGATTCGAGACTTCCAGACACCTCCTGGCACGGCCTTGCACCGTACGTTGGAACCGCACCTCAAGCCGCAGATCCAATTCTTGACCGATTGTCGACCGCATTCCATCTCGATGGGCAACGCCATCAATTACATCAAGCGTGAGATACCCAAGACCCAAAGTACCCCTCATCCTACTCCTCCTCCTCCTCCTCCCCCCTTCTCTCGGAGAGTAACCCTTCTCACCAACCTTGGTCGGTACCCCTGCCCAGGCATGTCGGACGAAGAAGCCAAGGAGTTTCTGATGCGCAGGATAGAGACTTTCATCGAGGAGAGAATTGTGCTGGCTGACCTAGCCATCGCCACGTACGGCGTCTCCAAAATCAACGATGGCGATGTGGTCCTGACCTACGCTGCGTACCGCCCCCTCTCTCACTCACTCCCTCCAACCAACCCCGCTGTGTGCCGTCATGCGTATGTCGTGTGTCACCTCTGTAACACCTTCCAATTCCCGCGCTGTGCAGGTCACACCCGGTGGAGTGTGTTCTCAAGCAGGCCCATGCCGAAGGGAAGAAATTCCGAGTCATCCTCGTGGAGTCAACCCCGAAACGGGAGGCGAAGAATCTCATGCAAAAGCTCGTCAAGGAAGGGATTCACTGCACGCTGGTCTTGCTCAACGCTGTCTCCTATGCCATGAAAGAGGTAAGAGTATTAGCCTGGGCTGTAGTATGCCAACGCCATCTGACCATCATCATCCATCCACCTCCCCCAAGGTGACGAAAGTGTTCTTGGGTGCCTACACCCTCCTGGTCAATGGCCATCTCATGTCCCGAGCTGGCACAGCCATGGTGGCAATGGTGGCGAATGCGTACAACGTTCCTGTCATCGTGTGCTGCGAGACCTACAAATTCTGTGAGCGAGTACAGATAGACTCAATCTGCTTCAACGAGCTGGGCGATCCTGATGGTATGTGTTTCCTGATGTTGCAATATATTTTTCTATATTGGACAGTTCGCTAACACTGCACCCCCATTCATGTTGTTACAGAGCTTATTGCAACTGCTGAGGGCAACACTGGGCGCACTGAGGCACTGAAGGACTGGCGGAACAATGAACACCTGAAGGTGCTCCCCAGTTCTCCTTGCCAACCTTCTTCCCTACTGATCTTCCCTCCCCATCCCTCTGCAGCTGCTCAACCTTGTGTATGATGTGACACCAAGCACATTCATCACCATGGTGGTCACTGAAGTTGGCATGATCCCTCCCACATCTGTCCCTGTCATTCTGAGGGAGTACCCCCTTCAGTCTATGGAACAGATGCAAGGGTAGATAAATTAATAGACCTCTCCTTTTCATAATTCTTTGTGTATTTTATTGTGTTTGAGAGGAGATGCTGTGCTGTTTCACTGTTTTGGGACTACATTGGGACAAGTTTGGCACTGTTTTGGGATAAGTTTGGGACTGTTTTGGGACTATATTGGGGACATTTTTGTGGCATGTTTGGGACTATTTTGGAACTGTTTTAGCACTGTTATGTGACTTTTTTGGCATTGTTTTGGCACAGTTTTGGGATCAGTTGAAGGCAATGTTAGGACTATTGTCAGACCTGTTTTGGCAACTGTTTGGGATGATGTCAGGAGTGGTTTGCCATTATATTGGCGCATGTTCAGCATGCAGGCTACTGCGAATTTGGCGCAATAGCACAGCATGTCACACATCCTCAGAATCACAACAGAAAATGATAAAATGGGCCAAGTGAGGACCGTACGACCAAGTCCGATACACAGAGCATGGGAGATGCACACGATTCAGCCCTGTAGGCCGACAGGGGATGCAACTGAAACGAGTAAAACTAATTGCACAAGTAACACAATTACAGATGGGAGGAACGATACGCGTGGCCTTCTCGTCTAGGCTCAGGGGATGCAACCGAAACGTGTAAAACTAATTGCAGTTGTTGGAAAACATCAATCTCCACCTCGACATATGCTCTCTACTATCTTATCTTATTTCCCAAACAGTTATCACTTTATTTCTCGAACTATTCCTTTCCTCACTTTGGAAACTACTTAAATATGTTAGTTCTTGAACAATAAATTACTTTTAGAAATCTACTTCTTCAGCAACACATCCCACTCCAACAGCCGTAACACAAGTAACACTAGTGGCTCACTCAAAGATCGAACCCACATGAAATTCGTTGATGGATGGAGAAAAACTCACCAGCCAAAGCTCCTAGGGTAGGATGCGATGCGCCTCTGTGGGAAAGCAGTGTCAGGAGATGAGTCTTGTCCGCGGACATCGCGATTAGCCGCGGACATCGCGACCTCCCGCGGACATCGCGATTATCCGCGGACATCGCGATCATCCGCGGACATCACGGCCGGCGACTCATCCCCTCAGTATGTGGGTCGCGCGTAAGTCGCGCGTAAGCTACGCGTAGACAGCGCGTAACTACACGTCGCCAGCGCGTGGGCGACGCAGGGACGACAAGTGAAAATGCAGTTTGTAGGAACTCAAAAAATCATTTATTATTTTGAATCGAAATTAGACAATGCTGGGGCGCCCCCATCGCACAACACCAAACGAAGGGACAGCTAGGTTTATTCAAGTCCTCCCTGTTTTGAAATTTTTTTGGCAGCAACTCGTTTTTAGGGCATTTAAAAGCCGTTTTGGCAAGGCCACGGATAAAATTAAAATTGCCCGAGGGGATGCAACGAAAACGAGTAACACTCGTTAAACGCGTTTAACTAGTTTAACTAGTAAAACACTGATTAAACTCGTTTAACGACCTGCCCACTCGTTGAACGTGTGGGCCACTCGTGAAACGAGTGGAGAATGTGTGAAACGAGTAGAGAACGCGTGAAACGAGTAGCAAACGCGTGAAACGAGTAGAGAACGTGTGAAACGCGTAAAAACCGCGTAAAAAAACGAGTAAAATGACCACAAACCACCTGTGGCAACACTGATTAAACGCGTTAAACTAGTTAAACGCGTTTAACGAGTGTTACTCGTTTTCGTTGCATCCCCTTACGCGTTTTCGTTGCATCGTGCGGCGGACAGCACACCGTAGAGCCTTGAGTCGGCATCTTGTAGCCCATGGTCTAATTGGGCTGGAATATGATGCTCAGGCCGCCAGCTATCAAAGCAAGCGAGAAAACTGATGCGCTTTACTTCATTTCGTAACTATAAAGCTCAGGTTGTGAGGCGAACAGCGCACTGGAGCGCCCTGAATCGTGCGGCATCTTGTAGCCCATGGTCTAATTGGACTGGAAAATCATTGGCAGGCCGGTAGCTACCAAGGCAATCGAGAAAACTGGCGCATTTTATTTCATCGAGTGATTTCCAAGAGTGATCTCGGTAGTGAGGTGACCAGCCCTAGCGGCCCAATGAGCCATCCTACAGGGCTGAATACTATCACATCTTAAAGCCCGTATTTTTTTGAGACTTCTGGACCGATTGCGAGGACCGCAGCTTTCAAGGCAAGCGAGAAAACGGGTCATCTTCGTTGTGAGGTGCTGACGTCAAAACTCCGCCTGTCGGCTGTTTTTTATTTTCAGTATTTATATTT